TTATTAGGAATTTGGAGCATGTTTCTAGCCTGAGTTTGTCTGGCATCAGTTTTTGGCCATTAGCTCTTACTAACGCTTTGTCCACTACACAGAAGAGGATCTCTGTTATCAAAGATTTATTCCCCAGATGGGTACCTATGGATTCTGATTGAGTCCCCCCTTAGACTTTTTACTGATAAATAGTTTGACACCTTGAGTCATACTCTGATCCAGTGCCTTCCAGTCCTTTATGTCTTTATGTGGCTTTTTCCTGAACTCCCTCTAATTTGTCCAGTGAGTTGGAGGTCTGCCCAGCAGAGTGGGGTGCAGCATTGTTCCACAGCGGTCAAACCAGTACCAAATGCAGATGTTACAGGCCCTTCCTATTTCTACCCAATGTTTTTCTTCTCATCCTTTTATGGATCACACTGCCCTTTCTGACCACTCTCAGTATTCATTGTCTCCTTGAATCCAGGTTTTTCTGAGTCCCTGCTTCCTAGCTTCGTGAGTCCCACCTGTGAGCATAGCTTGTATTTTTTGTTCCACGATGTCTGACTTTACATTTGGCCACCAGATAGTCACTGCTCTTTGCTTCTGTACAAATGACTCCTTTGTGTCATCCCATCTCACCCCCACGCCTGCAATCTTGGTGTCACTCACAGGACTTATCAATGATTTAGACTTCCTCCCAATCTGCCAGTAAGGATATATACAAGAGGGGCAGACTCCTTGATGGTGTTTAGTATTACAATTGTGTTTGTAAACCTGCTGACTCATCAGCCTTGAATCCACAGAGCATATGCCAGGCTATTCTGGTATCGTCTAGTTTCATAATCAAAACAGAGAGAAGTATGAAAATCTGCTTCCGAAGTATTCATCCTGCGTTGCCTTGAGGGATGCAAAAGCTGCACTGCAGCCAGACTTACAGTGGATTCTAGTGATATGAGCCTCATGGTTGCCTCCTGAAATAGGTGTGCAACCAGATTTTTTTCAGAGATCTCCTGAATCCCACAGATTTTGGTGTCAGGACAGTATAGTGACACACTAAAGGATCATTTACAATGAGCTCTAAACTGTATGCTTACAACCAACTCTGTCCTTTTGTATGCCAAATTCTTATCATCATCCTAAGGAAATTAAGGTTTCAGGAGTTTTACATCCCTTTACGTCAGCTGAGGAGCCGTCCTGAAGGACATACCTGCTGAAGGACCACAGCTTGAAGCTGCCTTTTGAGACTGATTATTGTGTATCTCTGTAAAAAATGATTCTTTGTTCTCTTCTAAATTGTTTCATGTACTTGATTTACATATAGGGGTCTGTTTCACTGTACAGAAGGTGCTTGACAGTGATGGAGGGGCCAAATTCCCCTTGCAAATCTTCTTTTTTGCATATAAAAAATGTAGATTCAGCTGTTCTGTCTTAATAGCACCTCAAAGGAGTCTTTCAGTGTTCTGTAATAATTCATCATCTAGTCAGGGTGGAAGACAAAATTCCTTTCCTAAAGCCTGAGACATCAGTGTACAAAAGCAGGAGGAGGTTCATATAGTCATTGTAAACATAGGACTTTTACCTTCATTTTCGTTTTTGCTATGCTTTGTTTTCTAATAAAGAAATGCATGACAGCCACATGTTGTCCTCTATCATTAACTGACTATTTCAGTGTCTAAGCTGGGTGATGTAAACACTCTGCCGTGATCTAGCAAGCTATTTTAGACCATCATCCTGTTCCAACTGTATGATTTCTGGAGCATAGAATATTGTAACAAGTCAGTACAAGCAGAAACCTGAGCTTATGCCTTCAAGATGAATCTGAGTGGTACAAGGATTTCCATGCACTCTTCCCCATTTCTTTCTGTTCAGCTCCTGCTTCTGCCCAGCAAAATGTCTCAGTGTCTCAGTAAGAATCAGGCAGAAAGGAAATACAGTCCGCAACCATCTTTCATTCAGATTTATGTGGTCTTTTCTTTGTGATAGTGAGGGATATTGGAGGTTTAATTTGTGTCTACTAATGCCAGAATAAAAGTTGCTAGTCCCTGACCTGCTTATTCTAGTTGTTGGCAATTGCATTAGGGGGCTTTTTCAGTAGAGCACAAACTGCAGCCTTGCAAAACAAAAGCTCTTCTAATTCTCTGTGTGATGTGTTCTTCATTCAGACAAAGCTTCTTCTGTACAGCCAATGGACCGAAAGCTTCAACATTTCAGTGGGAAAGCTCAAAGCAGGGACAAAGAATCTGTAAGCACCAAAGGCTGGCCAGTGCCTTATATTTTCTCATCACACAATGTTCATATGTCTGAAGTAACAGGAGCTGAAAACCATGCTAAGGAAATAATTTACAGTTGGAATGTACTGCTTATTCTCAACTTCATTCTTGCTCTGTTGTTAGTATTAATATGAACCTGCTAGATTAACCCAGAGGAAATCAATTGTATTTTCTTCTAATCCTAATTTTAGCACAGGAATATCCTTGGATTTATATGTACACAGTATTACATGTGGACTTTTGAGCAAGTTTGCAATACTGTTGTTGTCCTCAGGCAATTTGCCTCTCACTTGGCCCTGGAGGTTAGCTGAAGTCATAAAAAGCAACAACAAAACTATCAGTCTTACAGCACAGTCCCAGAACTGACAGGACTCGGGGAGTGAATTAACTGCCAGGGAATTAGAGTAGGAGCATTGCTATAGTACAGGAATGGAAGGAAGGAACCTTCATTTAGTGACTTCCTGCTGGAGATGGAAGGGGTTGATTCTATTTTAAAGAAAGTCACATCTTTGTTTGCTTTATCAAGAAAAATGCAGACTGTTTCCCAAGGCCTGTGCTCATTTTTCTTTTCTTACATTTCTTTGCCAGGGCAAATGTTTACTTTAGAAATGTATGATAAGCAGGGTCTATCAATGAACTTACAATCATATATAGGATCTTGTCATTCTTATACATGTCTTCGATCAGAATTTGGGAAAAAAATGTGGTTAGAGTGACCGCACAGTGTGTTTTCAGGCCTGAACCTGCCCATAAAACAGACTTTCAGCTCTCCATAGTTTAACTTGGCCTTAGCAAAACTCTTTCCAAAGGCAGACAAGATAAATAAAAGCAATGTGATTGTGGAAAATAGTAATGGGAATGGCCAGTGAGAAATGTCGTTAGCCTGACCCCATTTTAGCTTACTATTTCCTTAAAGAAAAAGAAACAATTGTATTATTTGATATGAAAACAAGCAGCAGTGACACAGCTACAGTTAAATTATGTATTTGCACCAGTTACATGTATCAGTGCACACATAAAATTCTGCAGTTTTGGCCCGTTGCTTGTAAAAACTCACATACTGCTCGTATTCATTGTTTAGTAAGAGTTATGTTGTTTTTCTAGCATTAACAGCAAAAGATTGCTGCATGACTATTAATATTAAAATATCATATCTTCTGAGATATCCCAGTCTGAGAAGAGGGAAGTGCAAGGACACTATTCAAGGCTTAGGAAGCTCCCGAGCCATGAAAAGCAGGAGGTTTAGAGAGCACTCAGTGTAACTGGCACCGTCCTCTATATGTGATGTTCTTCCCACTACTGAGCACAGCCAGAGATGGGCCGGTGGGCTGAGTTGGTGTGGCGACTTCTATGCTCTTGTACAGACAGAAGACAAAGCTCAAGGTTTTCCTTCTGCAGGCTGAGCTGAAAGGGCCACTTCTCATGGGCTCAGAGGTGTAACGAGGGATTGTCTCTGTTTAATGAGTCTATTGAGATTCTGTTCTTCATGGGGAGCTGGGAGGATTGGGAGTGGGGGACAAAATGCGTATCAGACAAACCTGAGGAAGGAGCAGAAGGCGAGATGACTCAATATGTGGCATAGTCATAAGGATGTTGCAGTGTTAAAAAGGAATTGACTGAGTGAGAGGTGGATGAATGAGGGAAGGTTTGTGATAGAGAGGTAAACATGTTGCCATTTATAATTAAGGAAGAGCACTCGGAAGAAAAGGCTGAATGAGTGGTCATAAGTAAGGTGTGATATATTCAAAAAAGTGAGGAACAGTCCATGGCTACAGAAAGATGCAAAAGAGGCAGAAGAGCTGAATTTCTAAACATTTCTATATAGATAATTCACTTTCTCCTGATCCACAGCCAGCAACTATATTCCAAAATAGAAAGACTCCCGGTAAAACTGGATTTTTCTTCTACAGCTGTATAAGGAATGTTTGGCTTCTTGTTCATTAGTTCCACCCTGGCCCAGGTACGTAGTGACCAAAAATTATAATAGTCTTCTGGCTACTAGGTGGTCCTTGTGAAGTGACTCAGAAAATGGTTGTACATGTCACAAGAAACACACTGAGAGATGGCATTCATTCTCCTCTCTCCCCTCTTTGGGCAGTCTGAGAAAGAAGGTAAAAATGAATGAGTCAGAGAAAGTCAATTGCTCCATCACCTCAGGAGAAAACTGGCTAGGAGGGAAGCCCTTCAAGCTTATTCAGATAGGTTCCTACACTGTACTCATCAGCCCACTGCCTGACACTGGTGTAGTAAGCAGTATGACTAATACCTAATGTGGGCTGTTTGCTCTTTCATCCTCTCTCCAGAGGAAGCAGCATGCATGCCAGTGTGTCTTGTCTGATAGGATTTTCTGTTTTCTTTTTTAATAGAAATGCTGCTTTGCATTGATGTTAGAGAATGCAGCTCCAAGAGGTGCAGACCCTGTGCTCTGAGGGGAAGATGGTGAAATGTGGAACAGTGCTTAGTTCTTGTGGGTGTTTGTTCTCCAGCCTCAGAACAGTCCTCCTGAGCAAATTTTCTCCGATACCCATGCAGGCTTTGCCCTGACTGTAGACAAAGCTACCATGCAATGCTTTCATAAGCAGGGCTCTCAGGCCAGCACTTTCTGGCAATTATTGTCTTTCACTTAAGACAGAAAAATTCAACCTCTTGAGCAAAAGTAAACTAGCCCTCAGAAAGATTGCTAGAGAGCTGATCCAACATTTGGATGCACTTTCTGTGAGTTAGCTAGCAAGGCCCAGCCCCTTCTGCTGACGTCTTTCCTCTCTATCACACATCAGACTTTTCCCAGTGGAGCTGGAAAATAGGCTTCAATGAAAACTGCCTGTTTGCAGCTAGAAGGAGATTGCAGGCACCACAATCACTGTTTCCTCTGCCTGACCTGGAGCAGAAACTACATCAGCAGGATGGAAAGGTAGTCTTATTGCCTAGCAAAGGTGGGATGATTTATCTCTGTCTCTAGATTGGTCCCTTTTCTTTGCTGTACAAGAGAATTGTTATCAGACTTCCAAAGAGAATGAAGCCAGGCTAGAATTCAGAGTGGATGTGTGAAAGCTGCTCTCCCAGGGAGGAAAAGGAATCACAGGCTTTCTGTGCTTTTTGTTCTTGTGCAGCTCAGAACAATGGTTTTATCTGCCCCAGTTATTGCCCTGGGGGCTACCTTAGGGACTGCAACTAGCATCCTTGCCCTCTGTGGTCTCACCTGCTTCTGCAAATGCAAGCAACCTGGGAAAGGACTCTCAGAAAAAGACCAAGATGAGGATATGGAAAATGCTAAACCCAGTGTGCTTCAGCCAGTCCAGCAAGTAAGACATAGTCTTTAATTTACTTTGTGATTTTTCTTTAAATGCAGAGGGTGGGAATGTGTCTTCTCTGTTAGGCTACCCAGAATGTGATTTATGCTGCTTATTCTATCTGCTTATCGGGTTTGGGATGTAACAACATGTTAATGGGAGGAAGATTAAGGGTAAGCACAGAGAAGGGAGCTGGGTAACCCACAGAATTACCAGAGCAGGAGACAGCTGTCACGTTGCCAGACAGAAAGCTGCTATCAGCAAAAATAAGGGAGAAGGACTGGAAATGCTGCTCAGTTGTCAAGCTAGATCACAAGGGAAATCATTTGCTGAGGAGAGAAGACTGGACTTTACCAGGCAGCACACAGCATTGTAAAGGAGAGATTACAGAGTATCACTCCTGCTGGGATCTCCTATACAAGCTATTCTCTAACTCTGTCCACGTTCTCCTATGGCTCCAGCAGGATAGTTCCCTGACAACAGCTGATTTCTTCTGCAAACTGTCTCTCCTTCTCCCTCTGCCCCTCTGTGTGAGGGGTTTAAGTGTGGGTGAAATTAAAACAAGGCATTGAAATGATTATAAAAATACAAGTGGGTATCTGGAGCGTGGTAACTGGACAATCTCATCACACTGTGTATTGGTTTTTCACTTGCTATAAAAGCAATGTGAAGTGCTGATAATGTCAGGCATCCCTTTGTGGTCTTTCTTACTTTTTAGGATCCAACAAAAATTGATTTACTCCTGAGCCCAATACAAGAGGGAGCAAGAGGAATTATAGGATGCCTCTAGAATACTTATTGATGGGAAGCTTTCCTTCTGTGGGAAATGTTTGACTGATTTCTTTGGCTGACTATGGTCTTTAGCATGAGCTATAACAATGGTCAGTCTCTGAAAGTATTACCTATTGGCTGTAGTTCTTGATCTTTGTATGTGAATAAGTCCTTTTCATTTTCACCCAAACAATATGCTATAGCAGCCAATTCCAAGAGCCAGTGATCCATTGTATAACGTTGCCTTTGTTTGCCTTTTAATTATCTGAAGTGCCTGTTATTTTTGTATTATTAAAGAGTTTAGCAAGAGTCCTAATAGGACTTCTCTGTAATGTTTATAACTAGATATTCAGTTTCTCTCTGGCTGCAGAGTCTTAGGCTCTCTATAGAGAAGAGCCCTAGAAGGTTCATGCTCCTGTTGCAGTTTTTTCTGAGGGGAGATGACCAAATCTAATAATTGTATTGAAACTTTTGATGCAGGATGGGGGAAGGCAGGGCTCCACTATGGCCAAACATCACTGACTTTAGGATTTCTCAAGAGGTTGCTGCTAATTCTGCACCCATCCATGGGTTTGGTGAATACCTCCTCATACCAGTTTGCCTTTTTCCAGGATGAATTTCCACTGCTGTCCTGTTTACTAGTTTTGTCGTACACATTCCAGGCTCCTTTTTCATCTTGGCTAACTCATATAGGGGATTTGCCAACTCCTGTATATAAAGATGTGTGATAAGGCTGAGATTTTCCAAGTTTACCGTTAAAATGAATGATAAGTACGTAACTTTGACAGTCACATCACTTTGCATAGCATTTTTTCTAGTTGCTAGTGTCTAGAACAATGCTACCCACAGATCACTGCACCATCAGTCTCTTTCTACAAGAGACTTTTGTATGTTGTTATTTTCTAGCTCAAGGCCTTCTTGAATCTTTGCCTTAACTCCCTTCTTGGATTGGAATTTTTTCTTTCATACAGCTTCTTGGAAAATATCTTGGGAAAGTGTTAATCCATCCTGGAGCTTCTCCTTCAGGGTGCCATCCTGCCTTCGTGTCTGAGATAACCACTAAACTGCCATGAAGTCTAATTAAGTGCTCAATACCCAGCAAGTCATAGGTTATGGTCCTCACAAAATGTCTACATTCCTTCATCAAGTTTTGCAGTAATTTAATATAGTATTTGACCAATATGAGATCAAATTATTCACCTCACTCTCAGTGGATTACTCTTACGAGAGCGATTGCATTCTTTCAGCATTATAGAGTTCCTAATTAGAAGTATTACTATCTTTTTCTTAAAAAAAAAAATTGGACACACTGTATCTGCTGAATGAACATTCTCTCACAGAAAGTGCAAAGTGTTCTTAGTTTGCATATTCTGTATGTTTACCAATTCTTTTCAATTAAAATAATTTTACTGCCAGGAACATATATTCTCTATGCTGTCACTGATTCATAATTAGTCTACATTCCTTAAAGGAATGAATCTCAAATTGAGTTCTGAGTCTGTGAAGTTTTATCCTCTGTTTCTATGTTTATAAACTGTCCTGTTGGGATTTTTTTCCATTGATGGAGAACTACATTTGTGCACTGTATGTCCTAGTCAGTGCTTGGCATACTTAATATTTGAAGCATGTTAGGGCCACTGGTTCTGGGAAACAGAGATGGCAAAATAAAGATGAAATAAGACTATATTGTATCCACTTGAAATGTCTCCCATTATGCTGATGCTTATTTTTACTATAGATATAAGCTCCCAACGGTCATGCCCTGCATTCATGAGGGGGAATAGTTCAAGCAGAAAGATGCAGCTACAGAACAATTAAAACCTGATGTAAATTTGCAAATTCTCAGCAAAGGGTGCAGAATAAGCATCCCTAAACACATCCAGCAATGACAGCAACCTACTGCATTGTCTGAGTGATACTGGGAAGGGACCCAGAAGGGTTGGTTGCAGGTTCCTAGCTAATTTTGATTTCTTGTTTTCACACATTTTATGCAGACCTATCTGAACTCTTCTGCTCATCTCTTTATTTAAGATATTGCTGCTGATTTGCAAAGGGAACTTCTATAGGGCTCTGCTATGCAACAAGACTAGCAGACGGCACTTGGGCACAGAGCTGGCAGCAAAAATAATAAACAGAGGCAGATGCAGTTGGAAAAGGGGGTGGACTGGTCCCACTGTGCTTACATATGTCTCTCATCTCTAATTCTGCAGAGCAGACAGAGTAGAGGAATATTTAGATCCAGTGAAACTCTTAGTTGCTGTGTGCTGATGGATTTCTTGAGTAAATGTCTGGCTTTTAGAAAGTGGAGGAAAAGACTGTAATAACAATACCTCACATTTGTGTAGTGTTTTTTGTCCCAAAGGACCCAAAATTGCTTTGTGTGCTAACAGCATACAGCACCGCAGACATACCTCTCTGGTGTGAAGGTCAGTGAATAGTAGGACAGTAGCCTTATACAGTTGGTTTAGAAGAGACAGAACAGCAGACACTGGCCGCTGCAGCAGATACTTTATGTATGTTAGGAGTATTGTCTTTGCAGAACACAAATGACCTTGTTTTTCATGCTACTGTCTAGTGGTTCCTCACATGTTTTGTTCGGTTGTTTTGTTTTAATTTTAGAAGAATGAACAGCTGAACCATATAAGATTTGGATGAGTAACTTCAAACCTTCTAAGGGGTTTTAGGACTGCTAATGCTCACATCTGTAAAAGAGGGATCTCACTTTCTTCTTTTACAGACCGGTACCATAATGGCTTATACAATATCTAAGCTCCACTGAATGCTAGGTGGAGGGTCTCCACAGAGTGCTGAGTTTCTTTCTCAACTCACTCCTATTCCAAAGTCCCTAAAACTAAATAAGAGAAAATGCTATGTTACAGAGTGGAATTTCCTAAACACCAATGCACGGGTTGCCTCGAGAAGATGAAGTCACTGACCCAATTAGATCTTTACCACCGCCAAGTGCTTAGTAGTGCTGTGATCTCTATAGATGACTAGAGAGCCAAAGTCCAGGACTGCTTTCTTTCTTTAACTCTGTTTCTTGAGGAATAGGCATGTTCCCTGAGGACGCATGATTTGGGACCACAGGGTCCCAATAACAGACAAGTGCCTCAGGGTGTCGTCTGCATTCATTATTAATGTGAAGCAGTGAGATTAGTGAAAACTTTAATTACAATTAAAAATGCTTTCTGACTCACTCTCACTCTAAACACTGAATAGATTGGCAGGGAGAGGGGTTGGAGAGAATCCCGTTGCACAGTAATAACCAAAATGGCAGTTTTACTTTTGCTTTTTGTCTTTCATGCTTTGGAAACATTAATAAAAACTGATGAGAGGATCAGGGTCATTTATTAGTCAGCTTTTGTTCCTTCCCATTGATGAATCCAAATATATATGAATCAGGAACGACTTCAGTTGTGAGTAGCCAGGATTCATTTTTTGGGACATAAATAAAAGAGGACTGCTCTATTTCACTAAAAGATTTTTCATGAGTCCTGTTTTAGGAGAACAGTAATGCCTTTGTGCCAACCTTGCCCAGTCTTCCTAGGCTTTACACCATCTTTCAGGTCCTTCTGTTGATCCAGTGTCAGTGAGCCAGCAGGGAATTGAAATGCTAAGAACAATGCAGACATAAATCAAAATGTCAGTCTTCATATAATAAGGGGGAAATGTTGCTTTTCTAATGAGGATAACAAGCACTTCTTTAAGTGTTCATGTGCCTGCTTCTGTGTTCAAAAGAAGGGATGTGTTTGAGGGTGAGGTGGAGCTCTGGTCCACAGAGCTAAGAGAGAATCCGAGAGGCTGAGAAGACCACTGAATCAGCTGTTCTTGATATACCGTTGCAGGGCCGGTACGTTCAACCGGTTCTCCTTTGCCTTATTACACCACAGTTGTACTTGCTCCCACTAACTGTGTGATTGGCAACTTTGCCTTCCTAATACTTCCTATACTCTCACATAAAATGTTCTATAAATCTATGGGTGATGTTAACCTCTTAATCTTGGGTTTGACTTCAAACAGCAGGGTAATAAAATATCATGTCTCAGTCACAGCAAACTGAACTTCTTTCGTGCCCCTTACTCTGCTAAGAGAAAGCACAGACTTATAAAGGAAAGATTAACTGCTGCAGGAAAGGAGGAGTAATCCAACAATAAAAATGTGTCTTTTTCTTGTTGCAACCAAACATCTGTAGAGGAGTGAATCTGAAAGGACATATACCAAGAAGAAAGGTAACGGATCTGGCAAAAAAATCTCTTGACATAGAGACAGTGGTTTCTCTAAACCAAGAAGCAATGACATTAAGAACGACCGGATGCACCATCTTTTCCCTCTTAGTCTCCGCTAAGTTAACCTTGGGAGAATCAGAAGAATTAGTCTAATTAGTGCAGAGTAATAAACAAGATTTTAATTTTCAGTTCAGCGTTAAGAAGACTGCCGAACCAGTCCAGCCTCGAGCACTCCTGAAGTTTCCCAACATCTATGGCCCAAAACCAGTAGTAACTTCACCTGAAATTGTTAACTACACACAGTACTCCTTGAAGACAACAGAAGAACCAGCTGCTGGAAAACATACTGGTTTGGATGAGAACAGGATGAAGATACAAGTCAATGAAGAGCTGTTTGTTCTCCCTCAAAACGGTAGGAGTGTTTGGTCTTCAGACTAATGATTGCTTTTCTGTGTGTAGATTATGCTTGTGTGCATAATACAATCATGGTTAGAGAAATAAATGTGAAAATGAATATATGCGGTATTTTTTGCCCTTTTATCATGAGCATTTTAAGTGAGTTCTTTTTTGAAAGTGTGTTTAGTAGGAAGTAGTTATGGAACCCATCATGAGATTCAGTTAATGAAGCTATAATTACAGCTAACTGGAAATTTTTTTACCCAAACACGTTTTGTGTTGAAGAATGCTGACTTATTGGAAGCAAACATTTTGTAGAAAAATATGTACTTAGGGTAAAGTTTTACTGGGAGCAGTTGCCACAGTATAGGTGGAATATCTGGCCAAAACTAGGCAGAGCTGCTCCCCAGGACAAATGCATTGTCCTTGTCAGCGATATCAGCAGCCTGGGTTCACACTTCTGCTTTACTTTCTCTGCTTTTTTTTTTCACCAGTTCTATGAGATGCTCTTGGCATGTCATAATGTGCAGTGAAACCAAAGGCTGACACCTCAGACATTTTTACCAAACAGAATTCTTGTTTTCCAGCCAACCCAAATAGTAACATGCCAACACCTGGAACATAAGATTCCTGAAGCCTTAGAGAAAATGTAGTGTTAATTATATACATCTGGCAGCGTGTCTGGGTTATTTCCATACTGATTTTTACCTTCACAGCTGCCTTTTTAACAGCATAATAATTGAGTCTTATGGTTATCATATTAATAAAGCCTTTCTGAAGGTTTGCTAGGGAAACAATGATGATTTTTTTCCCCCCAGGGAGCTCCTTTTAGTTTTTTTAAATCACTTGACATTATATTTTTGTCTTTCTGGGAGGAGGATCACCACATGCCTCCTTTCCACCCTGAGATTTGTGAGTATAGGAAAGAAAGGAGTACTGTGGCAAGTGGCTGCATTAGAGGAAGAGCCCATGTGAGCCACATCCTCAGGTGTTTATACATCTTCAAAAGATTATAGGTGAGGAGGCTGAAAGAAGGTGGTTGCATGTAGATAAAACTTTATATAAATGAGTTGGTGTGATAACCTCTCTGCACTGCTAGCAGCACAAGGACATTTGCCTCTTCCTGTGCCTGATTTCATAGCACAAGTGTTGCTGAAATAAAGCAAGAATTGTTGCCTTCTCCTTTTGGTGCCACATTGAGCCAATTTGGACTACGACTGATATTTGTAGGAGGAAATGTGCTGATCCAACCAATGTTTTCTGTCTGAATCAGAACCCACCTAGCTGATAACAGTTTTTGATGACAAAAAGCACTGGCTTGCCTTTTAGTCTTGCCTCTTGCTTTATTTCAGTATACTCACTTTCAAAGTTGCACATAGAAGAACTGCCTCACAGCTTCCCAAGCTTACCATCTTCAACCTGGTCAAGTGCTGTGGCAATAGATGTAATACTGGCCTTCTGTGTGATAAAGACTTTGTTGTTAAAAAAAAAAAAAAGGTTAAAAAGAGGTCTGAATTAATGCAGAGGTGTATGGCAACTCAGGAACAGACTCAAGTTCTTATTCCAAATAACAGAAGATTTAATTCATCAATGTGTGTAGAAAACAGTATAGTAACAAGACTGTAGTTTAGATATGTTGTCCCTCAGTACAAGATGAAAGAGCAAATGTGAAAACCACCTTAGAGCACAAGGTTGCAAAGAGAGCAGGAAGCTTGACCAAGTGTTGTAGAAAGAGCTGAGAGTGAGAGAAGACAGAGGGAAGAGGAAATAGGATGAGAGAGGGTGAAGCAACATAAGTGATATTCCTGCATACAAGGTGCAGGAATAGCAGGACAGGGATGAATTAGAAGACTTGAGTTAAAACAATGTGTATTGGCACTCTGTGTAAGGTAAAGAGCTGCTTGCTAAAAGGGTTACTTCAGTTCCAGGTGTTGTAAAGGATGTGTGTGTCACTGAGCACTTGAATCCTGAAAAGGCAGCCAGCTGTAACCAAGTCCCTGAACTGCGCTACTCCCTTGCATATGATCGACAAAAAGCTGAGCTGCGTGTGGCTCTTCTTGAAGGTAAGAGGCAGAGATTTTGTACTTTTGATTCTCCATGTGGAAGGTACAAGACACCTGCTGATTTTATAAAGAGTTCCCCTCTCACATTAAAATTAACAAGTTTCCCCAGAACCAGTGGATGTTTCATTGGCAGTTAGGCTTGCAAAGTAGAAATAACTAGAAATGTCACTGCTTGAAGCGAACGTGCAGGGCATGGCTTGGGAACAATGACTTGCACAGCTCAAAAAGAGAAGTCAGAAATCAGGACAGGCTCCTCCTATCCCAGCCATGGTACAAATACAGAGCAACCTCTTTTTATTGTTTTTTACTTTAGTGGGAGGAAGGTTGCCATCTCCTTTCTCTCTCCCACTTTCATTCTTCAACGTAACACATGATCCACTTATTTCCCTACTGCCTCTTGCTCAGGCCAGGTCAGAAGCTGAGGTGGAGATATCACATTTCTTTTTTAGAACACTGAGGAAGGAGCTTCTGGCTGCACCTGGCCAGGTGGCTGGGCTCTGTGGTACTCTCTGAAGCAGAGACTGACAACTCTAAGAGCTTCTCTGCTCAGGGCTGGATCATCATCAATTCCTCTGGGAAAGTAAAATAAGCTGACTGAATAATTCATGAACAGTGCAGATCTCTGTGGAAACCTAATCAAATCACACTCTCTGCAATGAGGATTTAAAGGGTGCTAAACTGCACTCACCATTGTGGGCCGCTTGCCAGCATCAGGCCCACATCATGAGCTTCCCTCCAGGATGGATGTACATGTCTGCAAGCTGCAGCCTGGCTCTCCTGCATGTGCGCTTCTCCCTGGGTGCTCTGCCACCCACCCAGGCTGCCTCCATGGGTCTGCTCCCCCAAGAAATCAGGAGACTTTTGAGAGTCTTGGCGCCTGACAGCTCAGGAGCATTCTTCCTTGAACTGACTTTGGCAAGGACTTCATTTTTCCCCACAAAGCCTTGCTGTTTCATGACCCTTCTGAGGAAGCAGTGCTCCTGTAGCTGCAGAAAAGGTGGTGTAATTCTTTTGGCATTAACAGGAGTGTAAAATGCCATTTCCATTCTAGACTTTCAGCCATAAAAGTGAAGTAAAATTAGGGCTGAATGCCTCTTGACATAAATCATATGGGCAGTAAGTTGGCTTCTGAAGGAGCCATTTACCAGAGAATGGAAAAGCAGAATGTAATAAACCTTAGAGCTATCACACACTGGCCTACAGGTGTGGGTATATGCCAGGTAGGAGGTTTCTCCTAGCTCCAGTGTCTGTGAGCGATCATCCTGCCTTTAAAGCCTTTGTAAGAAGTTTTCTTGGTGTAGCAACGTAAATCAGAGCTGCCCATTCCTTTGCTATGTTGTGTCTCATCTCATTGCTGTGCCATGTCTTTCAACTGAGCATTTTCCCTGAACTCAGTGGGTGCTCTCCCAAACACTAACAACATCCTTCTGCACTGGCAGAAGGAAAAGGATGCTGTGCAGCGTGAGGAAAACACCGCAGCATGGGGTTCACAGCTTAGTCTGCCCAGTACAAGCAGGAGCAGGGGTGAACGTCTATGCAGCTCTTTTATTCTATGACTGTTGTGAGATAAGCAACTTAGCCATAGATTATTCATGGCTGTCTTTTGTGAGAAGCCCTTACAGTCAGCCTTTCCTTTGCAGCTATGCATGGAGGGATGAGTGGGGACCAAGACACTGGATGCCATTGCTACATACTGGGTACACTGATGAGCAAGTCTGGTATTACTGAGGCCCAGACAGAGTTGAAGAAGAAGGTGCTTCACACCCTCTGGGAGGAGGTCCTGCTCTTCCCATTAATTGAGGAGGAGGTGTCAGAAGCAACACTGACTCTCACCCTGAGGAACTGCGACAAGTTCTCCAGACACAGCATTGTTGGGGAACTCAAACTGAGCCTTGCTAACATGGAGGACTCCTTTGGGATGGCCCAGTGGGAAAGACTAAAGACTCCAGAGAAGGTATGGACTCAGTCTGTGTTGGTAGTCTAGAAACCCGAACGACCCGATCCTAGTTTTGAGAGATGACGAGTGCCTGCAGAGGTTGCTCAGCGCTTCTCTGTCAGGGCCTGTAACTAACCATTTCAGAAAGTAATCAAAGGCCATCAGCCCAGCCCCTCCATCTACAGCTCCAAGCATTTCGGATGTGTCAAAACCTCCTTTCCTCCTCCCCACACTATGTGATAATCTGGCACTGATAGCTGTAATTCAAAGCCTATGTCTAGAAGAAGTTACGTGAGTTTCTGTGGATTAATGATGTGGGGACTGTGATAATAAGAGCCGAATTACCAGAGTGCCTACAGAGCCGGACAGAGGGACTCTTTAGAGCTGGATGTGGGGCATGCTGTGGCACCCCAGAGAGCCCTAAGATAGGAATGAAATGCATTGATGGGACTGTAAAGTTGAACTGAAGACTGTCACCCCTAACCGGGATGATTCCAAGCAGTACTACTCATTCTGGGAGATATCAAAACATTGCTCATTGTGCTGTTGTTTTTTTAAACATAACCCCCTTTTTCCCTCCCTATCCACATCTTCCCAACATGACAGACAGGGAAAATGGAGGAAAGGATACCAACAGCACTCAAAGTGGGTACAGGAGAGGCTCACTTGCATGAACTTCTTATGAGCAAATTTCCCCAGGAACCTTTCTTCTGCCATAAGCTGGGTTATTCTTCTGGTAGTAGCAATACACTTAACAAAGCAGCAGGGCACTGCTGTTACTGCTACTGGTATATTGCTGCCTGGCCCCATCAGGTGTGAGGGCTCTCCGCTGAACTGACCTGAGTCACAGAGTATAGAGTTAGCATTTCTGATTTCAAATAATGCTAATTTATCTGGTCACTACTTGAATACTGATAGGGCTGGCTACTCTGAAAAACCCTTGGCAGAGAGATGGGTAGCAGGAACAAATGGACAGTCTGGGTCAGTTTAATAAACTTAAAGCTCAAGGCTAAATACTTGCCTTATAGCCCTAAGCTGAACTGAGTTCCCAGTCTGCTACTGCAAAAAGAGATGTGCAAAAGAAATTATTCCAGTATAAGCCATACTGATTTAAATTCCTAAATGAAGCTAGACTACCCTCCCCCACACCCCAAATCTACTGTAGTAGCTGCTTTATAAGTGATACCCCAGGAACAGCCTGTTCACAGTGATGGCCAGTTTTTGCTCAAGCACACCTGATAAGAGTCCTCACATACTGGGTACTCTGCCTTGGTTCAACTTCACGACTGTACACAGAAACAGAGCAGCTGTTATTTCTTCTCCAGAGTAACAGTACAAGGTTAACACTAACTGTACTGCTGAACAGTGCCCCAGTTTGAGCTGAGGATGTGCAGTGAAGGCTGAATTTGCGTCATCCGGGACGGAAGAGAGCCAACCATTACACAGATAGCTTATATACAGATCCTGAATCATTCATTGAGAACCAAAGCATGAGGGAGCGAGAAAGAGCTGATCAGAAAAGAGGAGCTATTTTTGTCAGCATCTATCCAGGAATAAAGTTACCGGGCTTTGTTTAAAGTCTGGTGTTTCCTTGAAAAGCCACAAGCTGCAGATATTTCATTCCTACCCTCCCAGTAACTCTCCCACACAAGGGAAAGAACTCAGAGGGCAGCTTACAGCTAACCAGGTAACTAATTAGCACTGAGGAATGCATGATGTGCTGTGAGCAATGCAAAGCAAAGATGTTGCAGACTGATATCCTTATCTTGTCTTCCTTCCCTCCCACTGCTTTGCTAATGACAGTGATGATAGTGACTCCTTGCATAGCACCTTCCCTTTTGTGAGTGCACAGTGCTCTGCACACTTAATACATTGATGACCCCTGATGCTTATTACCCTCACTGCACAGAAAGGAAGATCTGTGGTGGTTGTGTAAATTTGCCAGATTGTAACACAAGGTGCTGGTTATGGATTTACTAGATAAAAAATGAACACAGAAGAAGGCAGAAGGAAAAGCATCTCTAGCTTGGTCTCTTCATGCAAAGTTCCAGCAAAGAAAAACCACTGTAGGTTTTAGTTTCATGTGGATACAGGCTGGAGAAGACTCGACCAGAATTTTAGGGGCAAGAAAGCCATAAGCACAACATGACGTGCATGTACAATGTGTGAATGTGTGCACATTTACAGAACATAAGCGTGCAGGCAAAAGGGCTGCAGTACTCTCCTTCCTCCCTGCCCCACCATCTTCCTAAGTATATCTATCTGTGCTAGGAACCAAAGTCTAGCCAAGAGCTATAGAGTGGGACCTGCTGAGACACAGATATGAAAACACAAGCAGCTTATTACTTGCCTAAACAGTGATTTTTGTATTGGGTTAACCCCCTCCATGTCTGGACACAGACCTATTCTTTTGCAGTGGACATAGAGCCATTGGAATCTGCCTCTGTTGTTGTTTTTTTTTTAGTTTTTTTTTTAGTTTTTAGTTTAGTTTTTTTTAGGTTTTTTTAGTTTTTTGTTTTTTTTGTTTTTTTGTTTTTTTCCTGTCCTGAATTTAGGACAGGATATATGTAAATGAAATGCCTGCATGCCCTTTGTTGTTACCTGAGCGCATGAAGAAAGATACACTTGGGCTGATTTTGGATCGAGTTTCAGGCTTCCTTGCTAATGGCCTCTCACCTGATTTGTGCACAACAAATAAGTCACTCAAACCAGACAGCGATTACAGCCATATTTTCTAGAGAGTCAGTCAGCTCACAGGGAACATACAGGGGGAATGTCCTTGCATGCTGGCAAGTAACTGGGTGAAAATTTAGTTTGAAATATTTACGGCTCACTTAGAACTGAGAGTACAGAGCACAGAAATGGCCTGGAGAAGTGCTGTCTATCCTATAGCTTGGAGATCATGCTGAGAAGTCCAAAGGGAGTCTATTGAGTTGACACTGGCTTTCAGTGACTCTTCTGGGTCATTTACCTCACACTAAAACAGATTTCTGTCACAAGCTGGTACTCACTGAAAGAATAGCTACTTCCTTTTTGCCCCTTGCCATACATTTTAGCTCTTTCTCTCCTTCTCCACCAACTCCCTACAGGGAAACAGCACTGCTTTCAAAGGAAAGATCAATTGTTGGTGTGATTATTTCCCTCTTGTTTTGCCTTCAGGGAGACTTGTCCAGAGCAAGTGAGAAAGAAGGCAAAAAAGGTCAGGAGGCTAAGAGGCCAGTCACTACTGGGAAGAAGGGAATACAAGTCAAAAAAAGCATGACCCCCTGAAGGGAAAGCTTGATTGTTCAGAGTGTTTACCCTAGAGGAAATCCAGCATGGGCAGGAGGGAGAACTGTCCACAGGCTTGAGAGAAGGCAGGAAGGAAAAGTAAAGTATTGTGTTGAGCTTATGGAGGTTCTTAGGTTAGTTGGTGTTTTTGATTCCAAACAAGGGTACTAGAGAAGGTTCAACACCAGCTTCAGTGTCTGGCTACGTGATACAACCCAGAGTATCATCTACTCTTTTCCAGAGAGCCTGACATTCTCGCTATGCAATGGGGACCGGAGTCCAAGTCTAGCTGAGTCTATGCCACAAAAATAGCAGCTGAAATGATGAAAAGCAGTAATGAAAGTAGGAGATATAAATAAGCAGAAAGAGCTTATTGGATGATCTCTCAAAAAAGGAGTAGACACACTTTCACATAGTACCTACGATAACCCTAAATCCTCTTCTTCTGACTAAATATTCCACTAAAAATGGCTGTTAAGAAGCAACTACTTTCCAGCAGCAAAAGAAAGAGCTAACCCATAAAATCAGGGTCAAATGAGTAAAGGAGTCTTCTCAGACACCTTTGCCTGGTTTGCTCTCATCCGGTTTACCTGCAAAAATCTTCTCTACTAGGGCAGAGGGATGATTTGGTAGATCTATGACATCACCTTGCATTGTTCAGTTTTCCTAATGTTATGACCAAAACTGTATCAAAAGGTAACCCTTCCTTCCTGTGTATCTGTTTCCAGGAGCCATCTACAGGCCATGGGGAGGTTCTGCTTTCTATCAGCTACCTGCCAGCAGCCAACCGCCTGCTTGTGGTGATTATTAAGGCTAAAAATCTGCATTCCAAGCAGCTAAAAGATCTGCTTGGAAATGGTGAGTGGAATAGCAAGAAAATTGAAGTTCAAGAAAATTGAATTGAATTTCTGCTTTTATGTAAATCTGGAAAGACAGAGGGGAAGGGGGAGGCTGGGTGAAAGGAAGTTTGGCTTAGAGAGCCAAAAAGATTTGAATAATTTTTAACAAGTAAAAAAAAAACAAACAAAAAGAGCCACAGACCTCAAGATCAGCATTTCTCATGTTCTCTCAGTCAGCCTGTTGTCATCAGTTCAGATTCTCTTGTATCCATTTTGTTCCATGCTCATTACTATGGTGTCTCTCTCCACCTCCTATACAGATGTTTCTGTCAAGGTAACACTGAGGCATCAGTCCCTGAAGTTGAAGAAGAAGCAGACAAAACGTGCAAAACACAAGATCAACCCTGTCTGGAATGAGATGATCATGTTTGAGGTGCCTCACGAGCTTCTGCGTGCCTCCAGTGTGGAGTTAGAGATGCTGAGCCAGGATGGTGCCGGTGAGAGCCACATACTTGGCAAATGCAGCCTTGGCCTGCATGTTGTGGGTGCAGAGCGGAACCATTGGGAAGAAATGCTGAGAAACCCCAGGAGGCAGATAGCCATGTGGCACCAGCTCCACATGTAGGCACATCATGGTTACCGCCAACTAGATTTCTGCCAAGCCCCTGAGCCTAAGGAAATAAGCTATATTTCACCTTCCACCTTCCCATCCACACAATGACCAGGCACAGCATTCTTTCTATGCCGCCCTGCTTGGCTTCCTGCCAAAAGAATGCCTCATGCTAGTCCAGGAAATAGTCTGGAAAGTTCATTTAAAGGACAATCCCCCACCTCATCAAGTGGTTCTCTCAAACAAGGGATTTGACTGTGTGGATGATTTGAATTAATTTTATCAGCCTGCATACTGTTGTTTCCATGTGGTTTCTAAAGAGTATAGATATGTTTCTGTGAAATGACTAAACCAACCCAAGGAAGGGGAGCAGAGGGATCCCTTCCTTGGGTAGAAAAGGTTACTGACTCCTTGACATCTGGTATGATCGCTCAAGTCCCTTGGCGAGGGCTGGCTCCATAATCACAAACACGCTGCAGCCATTTTGCCACTTGCTGTTTTTCATAATGCTTTACAAGACTGTGAGAAATTAATTGTAAAACTAGTTCTGACTGCTGACCCAAAGTAGCACTATGAAAGAGAGAGTAAAACCAAGTGGAAGCATAGATGGATACCCAGAAATAGAGAAAGAACTGAGAGAAAGAATAGTGGGAAAAGATAAAGTGAGACAAAGTCAACTGCATAGCCTTGGAAACAAACGCTGCCAAACACTAAGTCAAATACCTTTCTACAATTTTGTTTCCTGAAGTATTGGACACCTTGGATTTAGGGTTGCTGAAAGCCACTGAAAACATGAAAATTTCAGAATCCTTTAACAGAATACCCATATCTTCTATCTTGCTTTCTACAATATCACCCAGAAAGATCCTCAACACAGATAAATAGTTTTTATTGATGTTACCTCCAAAAACTTGGACCAAATTCTTCTGCTTAGTGCCATCTTTCCTATCTAGGAATTTCTGAGCTGGACAAGTTTCAGATGCTCACAGTCTATTTCAGGCAGCATCCAAGACTAGACAAAAGAAGTGGGATCATTTCATACCTCAGCACTTAAGTGATGGTTTTGATTTGATGTTTAGTGATCGCACGCTCAAACCCTCATACAAGGACTACTAGAAGACAACCCTTAAGAACTGCCATGTGTGTCATCACCTCCAAACAAAAGGAATTCACTGAACAGACAGATTCTCCATGGCTTGTTTGTTGTGTGCACTTTCAAGATTTGATGTGGTTTAAATGTTACTGTTTAATCTCCTTGTGGTGTTTAAATGGACTGAAAGCTGCCATTGGCAGTGGTGATGTTACGACCCTATGAGCACACTGCTTATCCTGCCACTTTATATCAAGTGGTAGACACAGCTTTAAGGGACTTGCATGAGGACAAGGCATGTGAAAGTCTGAAAACAGGACCATATTGTTTTTAGCACTGAAGAACTCAGAGAATAGCAAAATTGCATTGCTTCCCACTTAATTTTTGCAGTGTCAGCTTGATCCTCTATTTAATTCCTGGGCTGCACTCAGAAGAGGGTTCCCAGCAGGCTGAGGGAAGTGATCCTTCCTCGCTTCTCAGCACTGGTGAGACCACATCTGGAGTGCTGGGTTCAGTTCTGGGCCCTCCACAGCAAGAAAGATGTGGACATACTGGAGTGAGTGCAATGAAGGGCCACAAAGATGATTAAGGGACTGGAGCATCTGACATACAGGGAGAGACTGAGAGAGCTGGGATTGTTCAGTCTACAGAAGAGATGGCTGGGGGGGGTCTAATCAACGTATGTATATATCTGAGGAGGGGGTGTAAAGAAATGGAGCTGTACTTTTCTCAGTGGTGCCCAGTGAACAGACAAGAAGCAATGGGCGCAAATTGAAATACAGGAAATGTCTTTTAAACGTAAGAAAAAGCTGTTTTTACTGTGAGGGTGGTCACAGACTGGAATGGGTAGTCCAGAGAGGTTGTGAAGTCTCAGTCCTTGGAGACACTCAAAATCTGACTGGACATGGTCCTGAGCAACCTTGGTCTAGATGACCCTGCTTTGAGCAGGGGAGCTGGACTAGATGATCTGCAGAGGTCCTTGCCAACTGCAACTGTTCTGTGATTCTGTGAAAAGAAAAAACCAAATAAGGCTGATGGACAACTGAAAATTGAGTTGTTATCTTTACTCTGCCATTCCCATTATAGGTACATTGTGGTGTAACTAGATAGTTTTGAAGAAAGTGATAAAAACATCTCTGACAAAAAAAAAAAAGAGAAGTGCCAGTGAATCCTATACTCAACTTTTAATCTCTGATACTGCCCCAGTGGCTAGTGGGGATTTAAATGAAGAGAAAATTGACTTCTTGTTTTGCTCTATGGGTTGTTTTTTTTAATGAAAAACTGCAGGATACTGTGAATAAACTAGACACAATAGAGTTACTTTTATTTGACAGTGAATTCTTATTAGTTGCTGCATTCATGGTTTGTCTGTAGACGTTTCTATAGATTTGGAATCATTATCTCCATTTAAATGCAAAAATCCATTGTAATATTGGCCTAGTCTTCATATAGGATCCTATGAGTGCTGTAATTCTTCCTTCTTTTTAGGATAATGATAAGAGTCATAACTTCATAGTGTGATGGTATTTGGCTGGCACTGGAAAGCCTGAAGGGCCAAATATTTGTATTGCTGCCAAGAGATTTCTCTAATTCTGCCTCCTGCTTATTTTAATGAGCCTTTTATAACATCTTGGTGGCTGATTGTAAACAGCGTTATCTGCCTCTGCCCTTGGTGATTCTGGCACACCCTGTAATTAGATAGCAATCCTATAGTGTCTAAGAAATAGCCCCTCACAATCTGATTTTGCTGTGAAAAAATAATCTAATCTTTTACAGTAGAAATATATATATGTTTTATAAAAAATTATAAAGGGCCAAATGATTCCGCCGATGTTAAAGAATGGTATTGTTCTCCCCTTTGCTGCAACAAAATTGAAAGGAGGAAGAGAAGAATTGTAAACTGTATGCATCTTTCCTAGCTTGCTCATTTTTGTTGTCTGGCATTTTAGCCTGGAAAGAATGTTTCTTGCATTCAATGCGGTCTTAACTAGCTGTCACGTGTTTTGTTTAATGAGGCAGTCATTTGTGCATGGACTGAAAGCAAATGTAGTTAAGGGTACTGGCTTTCACAAACCTAAGGAATGTTGCGTACGTGTGGTACTGGAGGGGCAGGGACTCTCAGCCCAAGCCCTTTTGAAGTCTGTTAAAAGGAGCTGTTTGCCGTCACATTCCTGTGCTGTCCAGGGCCCTGCCCTTATCCCACTTAACCTCCTATAACATGTGTTTAGCAATGCTTGTACAGAACAGAGCCCTCAGCATCTAAAGGGCTTTAGGAGCTAAACTGGCCCAAACAGATGAACTTTGGAGATTCACTGTGGCAGTTGACAACATCATAAATATAAACATAAAGTATTTGGAAATGCTCAGTGTCATCCTATCAGGTGGCTTCAGCACCTTGAGCAGTAAATATCGCTTAAGAGCAATATGGCTACAGAACTGAGCCAGACAGCCACATGGTTTTCAGCTCCTGAGGTTAAAAATACAGGAATATCAGCGAGCACTACTAACTTTTTTTTTTTTTAAATTAAGAGGTGGCACTTAAAAACTATCTCATGAGGCTGAGAAGAGGAAAAAACAGTTATGACAATTAATGTTCTTAATCTACGTATGTGACCAAAAAAATTCCCATTGGTGATTTAGTGGTTCACTGATAATTCTGCCTGCTATCACTCACATAACATGAGGAAGCGAGTAAGGCTGGAACTGAAGAGGCAGCAGGGAGAAGAAAAGGAATCTACCTGGTAAGAATGAACAATCTTTTTCGTGAAGGACCAGAAAGTTGTGGGTTTGAGGGCAGAGATTCACAGTCCCTCATCCAGTGGCAGAAACCAAACACTACTACTCTAAAACAGAATGAGAAATGCAACTCCCATACTACACCCAGCACTCCCCAAATCATGTAGTCTCCTGTGGACACTTCTCAGAGGAGGTACTGAGAGGCCAGAGCAACTGACTTGTAATGTGATTAAAATATAGTCTATAACCGTATGTTGCTTTTGCCTTGACCTCCCCTCAGAGCTAGAACTGCCCAAACAAATGATCTAGTTTGATTTTAGGGAATTTGTGCTAAAGAAGGTGAGATATAGATAGCTGATAGTCACTAAAACATCTCCGGGATGTTTTGGAGTCAGTGCTATCTTTGTCCCTCTTCCCTGGTACTGAGGGGGAGTGTTTGCATCTGGCCTCCCATAAGTATAGCTTTTTCAGTGGACACAGTTTTTCCCTCTCTTCTTGTCCTAAATGTCTTTGCAAGGTGATGGCAACCATATTTGCTATGTGAAGAGGTAATAATTCAGAAAGCACTGGAAAATTCCCTTCAACAGGATTGGGTTAAGCCTGGGAAAACCTTCGGGGTCAACTATTCTCCCAGCCATTACTGTGTTCTCTAAACCCTGAAAGAAAGATACTAACAAAGTGCAAAATGCTATCATCATTATTATCTGTGAGCAGTGTCCAGAGACACCCATTTCTTCCAGAATGAAGGAGGCGTAATCCGGGCTCTAGAAATAGAGACCAAGATTTATCCAAATTTTCTTTATGTCTGTCTGTTGTTTGAAGCTAACGCTCTGAATTTGAGCCCCATTAAATGACATACAGAAAACTGAATGCTACTGTGACAATTAACATTAATTCCTATTATTATTATTATTATTATTTTGTACTTGATTCCTATGACACCCATCTGAAAAGGCAAGTTGTACTCTGGTTGCCCATGTAAATATCTCCATCTTTTCAGTGTAAAGACATGAGAGCTGTAAATTGCATACTGCATATTAAAGCTTAACTGTTCTTCATCATTGGTGAGAACATGATTCACAAGTGATTCAGAAATGTGGTGGAAAATAGGGTAGAAACTATTTCAATAGCAGGGGCCTGAGTTCAGCATGATAACATTTACCAAATGTTGGGAGCTAAGGTGGCTTGGACCGTGCTTAGAGGCCCGTGTTAAGTTCAGTTAGATCAAAGGGCAGAGGTTTGGCAGCACCTTTTACATGTTTCAGAATTTAACTCAGTCTCACAATGAATTTGGTTCATTTGCTGAAGGATAAGCATGGTTAGTAAATAATAATACTTGGCATTTTATATTGTTTCTTCTATTGATAAATATCAAACTAAAGAAGAACAGTAACAAAGTAAAATTGTGATTTTTGGCCTTCCAGCATGAGAAGGCTTTTCTGGTTACTCAGTCCTTTAGTGTCCTGATGTCTTTATTGTACAGAGCCAGGTATTGTTTGTTGAGACTCTATATTGTACACACAATCCAAAGCACAAAAAGAGAGCATGAGACTTGGCAATTGTGTCTAATGTTACAGCACAAAATGTATATCACCACCAATAAGTAAATGACTCCAAATTGTATCAACATGGTGTCTGTTTTGCTTATGGTAGGATGAGCCCCCTATGCCTGCAGCTCACAATTCACAGATATAAAATATTGGGGTGAGTCAATGGAAGATCCTCCGAACAATATCCTCCAGGGATGGGCATACAATGAGAAAGGGGAGAGGTCAGCAATGGAACCCTATCCTTGCCAAACATAGAGAATGTATTGGCTTTTTCAGCAAGGTGGTATATAAACAAAATTGGAAATGCTTTTCTGCAGCTGTGAAGAGATTAGGAAATAGGATCTGGAAATCAGAGTCCTCCCAGATACTGGCTCCATCTCTAAAACAGAACTGAAAAAAGTGAATCTTAGATTTAATCTTTTTTGTTCATCCCAGTATTTTCAAGGCAGCGCTGATGATAGTCTATAAATCAAAGAATGAATACCTGCTTAAGTGACCTGATACCATCACTGGAATTAGCTGATTCCTAACAGCACCTAGAGATCAAAAGCTGTACATAAAAGTAACAGAAAACAGATTTTTGGGGCAGGGATGGGAAGTATCTATCTCACTGACAGTTTGGGGGCACTCTGTCACCCTTCACAGTCAGCATTAAAGCACAGTGAGAAATAACAAAGTGAGTCTGTCGGAGCCCCCAGGCTGTTGCTAGCTTCACAAACAACGTTGCCACAAGCCTGTCGACAGCATAACGAGCCTGATGCTACTGAGACATTTGCTGTAGAGGTGGAGAGAAAAGAGCAGTATTTCTGCTGCATTTGGAGTTGAACACGGGCCGTGCATTTGCCATGGACAGTCCTTCCCGCCTAGAGAACTAGCACTGGGTTGTTCAGTAGTTCTCAAGCCCAGCATATTCAGAAACAGCAATAGGTGACACAGAACCATTCTTTTCTTAAGCCTGTTGTTCATTGTCACATCAGATTCATTAGAAGCTTTTTTCTACAGCATTTAAAAATTGAAATGGAACTGGCCCATAATCTTCTGTCTGCCATGAGAGAGTAACACCTAATCCTGCAGCTTTGTCACAGCTATTAAGAGAAGTAGGCCTAGATGTTTGTAGCCAGTTCCTGCTTCCCTAAACTCTCAGTCACCATTGATCATTAAATAAACTGAGCAAGGAAGGAGCTTTGAGATGTCCTTGAGAAGGCTGCTCAGACCTGAAACCCACCTGTTACCCAGTCCTGGGTTTTTCAGTACCACTTTCCCAATCGCCAGGAGGTGTCCCTTGTTGCTGCAGGCCAGGAGTGCTCCCAGCAGCTCTGCTAGCGCTTCCCAACCTCCAGCATGGCACCGTTGTCCCACACCTCCTTCCTCGGCAGCCCCACACCCTGCCTCTGTGGGGGGCTCTCCATCCTGGCCCTGGCACCTCAGCACCGTGAGCTGTGCAGCCGGTGTACTGCTCTTCTTCCAGCCTTCACACGCTCTCCTGCGGGACCACTGGTCTCCTCAGAA